TGAGTGCATATCTATATACTGATTTTCTCAACTCAAAGGATTTTTCCGGTATACTTTTATGGATCTTCAATGTATATATACTAGATATCTGCATATAAAAAGTTATATAATAGTTTAATACAAGTACTTGGCTTTGTTTCAGTTCTATATAGTAGCTTGTGCTGTAGTTTAATATAAGCAAGTATAATCCATGATGCCCTTGCAGTGTGTTCTTTTTATAGAATTTGCCTCAGAGTTGATTTTTGTGATAGCTTGTAACTCAAACTCCTCTTTGAATAAGTTTTTTATCTTAGTAGCTCATTCTTCATTCCCACAGATACAACTTTCTGGTAGGAGCAGCTTGCAAAACTGAATGTGCTGCTTTCTTTCACAACCCTGATGGCTAATGTATGAACACAGTCTAGATTTTGCCTTCTATAGTTCAGATATCACTTTTGATGGGATCCATGTCAACTGCATAAGTTTTGGCAGGAAATGTAAGCATTTTTCTCTTGGTAAAGGGAGTGGTGTCTTCCCAGCTGATGCAGGGACCTGGGGGTAATGTGTGACCCCAGTGCTGGGGAGGCAGCTCTGCTCTTGCTGGGGTCAAAGGGGGGTTTGCTTTAGTGGTTTACTTCATTAAAAAAAAAAAAAAAATCCAGTGACTCTTTTTCCATGCCAAATATCTGTGAAGTACTACAGAGCAAATATTGATCGTAACCATTCTTAATATGCGCATCAATTATGTTGTTTTGACAGTAATTAGAAATTATTACAAATAGCATAAGATTTTTTCTGAACTAGTCATTGCTAAAGATCAAAATATAATTTTAAATAAAAATGTGGTGAATTATTTAATTTATGACTGAATGGACTATACTTATAAATATGTTACTCTTCATTACCGTGATACTGAAAACTGTATTTATTAATTGTGTTATGATAACTGGGTTTAAATATAATTTAATAATTTACACAAGCCTGCAAAACTTTGCATCTGCATTTAAATGAATGTTAAATATGTGTTAATACTCCCAGCTAGTCCAGTAAAGAAAAACGAAATTTTATTGATGTTATTATCAGAACAGTTAAGTGCAAAGAAATATGTGTAAACTCACGCAGGTCCTTTTCGTCTTTGTGCTTCATAGATTAACAGTATTGAAGAAAGTAACAGTGTGAGCTAGAAGGTTTTCTTCAAGTGATAGACAGTAATGTAATGGAAAAATATTGTGTTCTAAGGGTGCTCAATCACATGATATAAGAAGACTGAATTTTAAATGTTCATTCTTTTGAGATTGTTCCAATTAATGACAAATAACAAACTAGCCCAGGGATTAGATGACCACAAGGGAATCTTAATCTGTTTGCTTTGTTATGACAAGGGAAAGTATTGGACAGCTGTAGGATCCTTGGTCCTATCCCATTAAGCCCGTTTCTAGCAAATTAATAGCTAGTTTGTACTAGTACACTAGAACATATTTCCTAGGAAAGTAGAACTTCATATTTGCAAGGTAAAAACAAGTACAAGATTAATCTAAATTCTAAATTTCTCAGGTTTTTTTATTAAGGTGAATCTTCTAGTTCCTTCTTCCTGTCACAAAGAATCAAACATGAAATTTATATTGGTCTTTGAAGAATGCAAATTTTCTATTGATGAGGAAGTATCCATAGTCCCTGAATTAGGGAATTCATACAGCAAAAATTTTTTTTCCAAAGGTTGCCGTACTATCTATTCTTATTTCTCAGCTGATGGACATCTCTGTCTCCTAAATTCATATTAAATAATGTGAAATTAGAGCATTTCAGGTCCTTTGTAAAAAAAAAAAAAACAACAACAAAACAAAAAAGGTGAAGACTGGCATAAAAACTTCATGATTTTAGAATTTATTACATTCAAAACCACCTGAAATTCAGTAGAGCAAAGTCCATAATATCCTAAACAATTCTTTAATTGCATAGCAGATTTTATAGTCCATTAAACTTTATTGTTGGAAATTATAGGTTTATAGATTAGTATGTCAGGAAAGTACATGTCAATAAAGCTCGAATGTCAAGAGATGCTCTCAAAAGAAGTATTTTCAGTTTCTTTCCTCTCTTACTGACATACCAATGCATAAACTCAAGAACTGACAACTTCATGGCTCAAAATCCAGTTTCAAGTGCTAGGGGAAAGGAATTATCCAGGTGAAAAGGAATTGTCCATGTCTAATCAAAGTAGGAAGTAGAACCCCTGAAAATGGAGCCTGTGTGATTTTGCTCCCTCCAAGTGTCAGACTCTACCTTTGCTCTGCCTTCTGCTTGAAATGGCCTTGTCTCCTCCTCCAGAGAACCAAGCCAGTTAATGGTATTGCCTTCTAGCTCCCTATGGGCAGGACTTTGGGCCCTTACCTCCTCAGCAGAGGAGGAAAAGAGACTCAACATTGCAAACTGGTTGGTGTAGGAATGTTGTTGGCAGCCCTGATACACTGATTTGGGGATCGAAGTTGCTGTTTGAATACAGGGATTGTGTGACAGCATTCTGAACTAGCGATGCAGATTGGTTGCATATTCAGACACTATTATCACACTGTGCATTTAATCTCTAGTTTTTAGGTTTTCTTGATAAATGTACAAGATAGTAACATCACTTATTAAAGAGAAGACATTTGTTGAGATTCTCTGGTCATAGCCCCAGTGTGTGCTAGAGCTATGAGCCAATATCCAGCTCCAAAATTAACAAAGAAAAATTTCACTAAATCTTCTCAAATTGTAAAAAAAATATGTTTATCAGAAATTTCAGCATGTGTTTTTTGATTTTTGCCACTGCTTTTTAAAATTAATTTACAGTTTGAAGAACGACACCTATGTGGCAATCCCAATGAATATTTTTTCATGTGACAGTGTTTGTGGAAAAGTAAAGAAAAGACTGTGTTACTTGAAAGAAAAGTAGCTCCTGGGTTAGATACTAGGTTAGATATTTTGTAAAGTTGAGGTTATTGCATTCTGTGAGCAACAATAAAAATATAATCATTTAGAGATCACTGCAACTTTAGAAAGCAGCAGTATATGTAGTGTATGAAGTAAACACCTGCACTATATTAGGTACACAGTTTATATTAAAGCCAAGAATTAGTCTCCCTCAAAAAAATCAGTCTATTTTGAAAATGGGAAATATTTTAGGGCATTTTTTCTCAGTTTGATATTATTTTTAATTGAACAGAACTAGTTTGCCTTACACAAAACCTTTTCCTTGATATTTATGGAAGATGGTCTTTTTTGAGTTTGCTTTTTCTTCCAGTTAAAATTCTTCTTAGAATGATTGAATATGTATGTCTGTGCTCACATACTTGTGAGAGTCTGTGTGCTGGGGGAGACCTGTGATAAAATACAAAGGAATTCTATGGAGAAACATCAAAATACACGTGTCTTATTGTTTTTGCCATGCAAACCCAAAAGCCAGTTACTAAAGTTGCAGTGGGATAGGAGGGAACAAAATAGAACCTATTTTAAGTTCATTCTGCCTCAGGTGGTCCACTAAAATTTGTTCTTGAGTACTTTAGTGCATCACAGCACCGTGTTCTGTTTGATTAGTAGCTATTTTTTTTTCTGAACTTAACAGGAGCAGATCCTAAGTGCTGAGCATAGTTAAAAGCCTATGCAGAGGTTGATAGGGATCTGTCTATTAAGTTGTATCTGTTCAAAGACTTTACTTTTCTAGCTTCTTCAAAAAATACTGTCTATTTTTATCTGCTTCTACCTAGGGTCACACATTACTAACTCTTGGTAACTGTCAGTAAAACATAATTTAGGTATACATTATTTTATACTTTCCTGGATCTGTCTTTGAGCAGGATTGATTTAAACTTTAGCAGGGCTCATATCCATAGAAGTCAAAAGATGTAATCTCTTCTCTCACAGACCCCTTCATTTCTCTCTGGTCTGATTTTTTACCTGTCTGAAACTTCTAATCCTTCTAACCCTTCTCTTATTTTGTGGGGTAATGGTGTTGGGGTTGAGGGACAAGATTAGACCATCACATCTGTTGGGAAAAGGACCTGCTGGAAGGGACAGTAGGACTGTTTGTCAACAAATAATTTGACTTCAAAATACAGAATTACTGAAAAAAAAACAGGTGATCTACTAATCAGCAATACATGATCAAGGAATTGCCTATGTGCCTGGTGATTTAACAACTACATCTGAAGTGAGTCTAGCTGCAGCTTAAATTTCTGTGTCTCTACAGAGTGACAACTAACTTTATTAGAGCTAGGGCATTGCTTGGTCATAATGGAGTTAGATCTATGTATTAGTATGTCCTGTGTGTATTTGAAATTGTTCTCTAGACCGTGTTTCCGAATACTTTATCCTGCCTCTTTGTGCAGGAGCAGAAAAAAAATTTGTACGGAAACATTCAAATGCAATGCAATAGCTAAAGGAAATCAAACAGAACTGAAACAGTGATTAATCTTTCTGTCAATGAAAGCTCTAGTGGATTATTAGGGATTTTGCCCCAAAATTATTTTGCCTTCATACTGTGATTACTGCACTTGCCTTGAAGTGAGAGAGTGAAGACCTAAAAAATACTGCATTCTGTATTATCTCTGTGAAGTATGAAAATATAGGTGATGATATCTTCATTTCTGTTAGGACTTTTGTGAATAGTACCAATACAACACGTGTTAAACTACTGGTCCATGTTAATCTTTTTTGGTTGCAAAATTGCTGTTTTATTTCTTTGTGTATTCTGGGAATATAGACAGGAAGGCTTCACATAACCTTTAAATCTTGCATGTCTCTCTTTCTGTCACTCAAAAACATAGGAAAGTGTTCATTTTATTTATTTCCCTCAAAGAAGCAAAGAAGAAATTATAGTACTGGAAATATGTACTCGGAGCAGCATCAAATTAAACTTTTATTGCTGAACCAAATAAATGAAAATATATCAAGAATTAAAATTAATTTAGTAATTTTAAAAAAAAAGGCTTTTGGAAATGCTCTTTCACAGACAAATTAATATGTTTGTTTTTACTTTGTAACTGTAGTACATTTACTCCTAAAATGCAAGGCAGACGGATGGGGACTTCAGGGAGAATCACTAAGAGCACAAGTGTGAGCGGAGAGATGTATAAGCTGGAGCACATTGACGGGAGTCAGTCGGACACGGCTGTCGGCATGGTTGGAACAGGTGGGAAGAAAAGGCGTTCCAGCTTTAGTGCCAAAGTGGTTGCCATAGTGTCTCGAAGGAGCAGAAGCACATCTCAACTTAGTCAAACAGGTGAGTGAGACACACACTCTTTGGAAACAGGACTCTTACCAAATATGGTTTACCATTATTTCCTCTATGGCATCTGTGTTACATGTATATGAATATAGACCACTCAAGAGAGAAGATTTTCCAGCTGTAAATAAATTTCTGTTATATTAATTTTCTTTGATCGTTAAACATCCTGCAAGAAACAATGTACAAATGCCTTTTAGAATACATACTGTAATAACTTTCTGTCCTATTTACATGTAGGCAAGGAAATGCAAAGAGATATATATGGGTATCAGCAGTGGGTAATGGTTTGGCTTAGAGGAACTTTTTATGTATAGGAAATTTCTTCTAGCAGCAGAGTTGAGTATGAATGTAGGAACTGGAATTTGAGCAAATAAATGGCAGTTATGCAACTCGGATGAAAGATTGTACCTGTAGTGGCATAAAATATGTTTTTGAAAACTACCTTTTATTTCTTAGTTGAGTAAATCCAGTTGTGTTTTTTTTTTTTTAAATAACACTGGGAATTTGGGGCAGTGATTTCAGATAAATTAGATGACAGCATGATGCTCCATTAGGAACATAAGATTTACAACTATTACAACTTTAGAAATCTTAAAAGCTTCATATCTGCATAGCCTGAAGGGGTAAAAGCTCGTACAGAAAGATACTAAAGGAAAGAAAAATGTTTTAAAGTCCCTGTCCTGCTTCTGAACCCCAGTGAAGACTTTTGTTCATCTTCAGTGGGAGCAGGACCTGACCCTAAGGGTTCTTTCTTACTAAAAGAAGGAAAAGAAAGAAGAAGGGCTTCAGCCTAGCATAAGATGCACTCATATTGCAGCATTCCTCTCACATAGTCAGGGTAATCTAAATTAAGGTAAGTAAGAGTATTGTTTGTTTATATCATCAAATATCTCATCCCTTTCCCATGGTTTTCTTTTATTGCCAGATGAGCAGTAGAAGTGATTCTTTCACTTGATAAGCTTTAGCAAAAAGATCGTAATGCTTTTCTACACTACCCATGAATTTTAAGTCAGAAAGTATCTAATCATGCAGTTGGATAATGATAAATGTAGTAGGTGTATTTGAAGCCCAGATTGCAATTAATGTTGTGTTGCTCAAAAATACACTCTATGAGACTAGAATATAGATGCTTGTATACAGTAAGTTGTTATTTTAAATATATCATAATCTCTGAAAGTAATAAATAGTATTGTATCATAGAAAGGATTTTTAGGTTGATGTTTTACTCCACTTACTATAAAGAACATAATTTATTAAGTATTTTACAGAATGTGCATTTTTTGTTTGATCTGGCGTTCCTTTCTAGCTCCTAAATCTCACTGAAATATGAATTGCTGTGACAGACCAGATCTTTGTTTAATCTTACTCAGTAGTCCAGCTCTGACTGGGAACAAGGACTGTATGCCTAAGGGGAAGGCATATAGGGCTGCCAAGCATAGGATGACTTGCATTGCATGAGCCCTAACTCATTCTTGTCAATGAAGTTAGTAAATAACTTAAAATCTGAACTGTGACTTCCAAAGACTTCTCAGCATCATCTATTTAAAGCTCAGATTTTCCCATTCTTCATAGAAAGATACTACAGCTCTACTACTGTAGATACTACTACAATTTTTCTTGGTATATTTTTTCAAATTTCAAAACAATAGGAATTTTGCAAGGACTGGAACATATGAAGTTGTAATGGAACTCAAAGAAGTAATCAAATATGAAAAATATGATTACGTATTATTCATGTTTGTAAAACAGTTCAGAATCATGTTTACTTTGTCTTGCTGTGGCTCAGGCTAACAGTACTATCTGTGGCATAAGCAGAGCAAGTAAAATGTCATGTTTTGTCATTACATTATTTTTTAAGTTAAATTTTATCAGAAATCAGTGCATTAAACTAGTGCATTTTTTTAGAACAATATGCACATGAGACTTGATAGATTTTTCAAATTCCATTGTTGGAGACTAAATACTCATGTATTCCTGTGATTATTCTTGTAAATAAGTGGTTTTCTATATGTTCTTTTGAATTAAGCTCCAAATTCCCAATTTCAGATAAGATACTGTCATCTAAGTGAGGAAATTGTCAATAAGCAGTGAAGTCCTGATAATCACAGAATCACAGAATATGCTGAGTTGGAAGGAACCCACAAGGATCATCAAGTCCAACCCTTAGCACTCCATGGGACCATCTCCATCTACATGCCTGAGAGTATCATCCAAACACTTCCTGATCAGGCTTGGTGCTGTGACCACTTCCCAGGGGAGCTTGTTCCAGTGCCCAGCCACCCTCTGGGTGAAGAACCTCTTTCTAACATCCAACCTAAACCTCCCCTGACACAACTTTAGGACATTCCCTTATATTCTGTCATTGGTCACCACAGAGAAAAGATCAGTGCCTGCTGCTCCTCTTTCCCTCACAAGGAAGTTGTAGACTGCAGTGAAGTCTCCCCTCAGTCTCCTCCAGGTTGAACAGACCAAGTGACCTCAGCCACTCCTCATAGGGCTTCCCCTCAATGCCCTTCACCATCTCCATTGCCCTCCTTTGGACCCTCTCTAAGAGCTTAATATCTTTCTTACATTGTGGTGCCCAAACTGCACACGATATTCAAGGTGAGGCTGCACCAGTGCAGAGCAGAGCAGGACAATCCCCTCCCTGGACTGGCTGGCGATGCTTTGCCTGATGCCCTCCAGGACATGCTTGGCCCTCCTGACTGCCAGGGCACTGCTGACTCAGATTCCAGGACCTCCAGGTCCCTTTCCCTGACACTGCTTTCCAGCATCCCATTCTCAGTCCGTACATACATCCAGGGTTGCCCCATCCCAGATGCAGAATCTGGCCCTTCCCCTTGTTGAACTTCCTATGGTTGGTGATTGCCCAGTCCCCTAATTTATTGAGGTCTCTCTGCAGGGTGTCCCTGCCTTCAAGTGAGTCAACAGCTCCTTCCCATTTTGTGTCTTCTGTAAACTTGCTTAGTATCCCTTCCAGTCCTGCGTCCAAGTCATTTATGAAGATGTTGAAGAGCACAGGGCCTAAGATGGAGCCCTGTAGAACCCCACTAGTGACAGGTCACCAGTCTGATGTTACCCCATTCACTATTTCCCTCTGTGCTTGACCCATGAGCCAATTGCTCACCCACCACATGATGTGTTTATCCAGCTGTGTGCTGGACATTTTGTCCAGAAGGACCCTGTGAGAGACGGTATTGAAAACTTTACTGAAATCCAAAAAGATTGCATCAGCTGGCTTCCCTTGATCAACTAGGTGGGTTACCTTGTCATAGAAGGAAATCAGGTTTGATAAGCAGGACTTTCCTCTCATGAAGCCGTGCTGGCTGTGAAATATCTGTGCTTCTTTTGTGAGCTCAGTTCAGCTTTAAGAACCCTTCTTCATCCGACTGACTGTCCCATATTTCACCTTCTAAAACTGATCTGAAGAGGGCTTTCTCTCATTATCGAATGACTGAAGTTTAGGTAAAGGTTTAGAAAAGAAAACTCCATCCGTTATGCAAAATGTCCTCTGGTGGTGGAGAATATGATGGTTCCCTGGAGGTACTTAGTGACTGTTAACGAGCATCACTATGCTGTGTTAAAAATAACCCTGCCTGGGAAATATGGAAATTAAGCAAAGCAAAGCAACTTTCCAGGCTACATCATTTTGAAGTAGACATTACTAGGAAAAAAAAATCTGTTTTTAATTTTCTCAGTTGTTTTTAGGTAATGTCAGTAGGACTAATTTTCTGTCCATCCTTGTAATAATTTTATGATACAATAAGAGATTTTGTACAGGTCTAGATAGGATGGACAGATAAAGCAGATAATAAATCAGAAATAAAATATACTAGATGATGAAGGTCTTAGGGATAAGGATGGGTTGTTTGTTGTCTTTCTTGAAAATACCATTGATTCTTTCCATAATTTTGTTACTTTTCCTCTTAATGTCATGACAACCTTTTTATGCAGTGGTCAGGCTTTTTTTTCTTTTTTCCCAAAATTTAAATTTGATTGATTGAGTCTCAGTTATAAACAATGACAAGGATGCATTTCTGAGCATGCTTCTTTTACCTCATCTTTTACCTTTTCATCACTGTAGTGAAAGAAATTGTGATAATTTGATAAGAGGTCTGAGTGCTAGACAAAAGTTCAAAATACTCATTTTATCTAGGATTCAGTAAATGATCTGTTATTATTAGACTGGATAGAAAGCATCAGTAAGGAATACTGGGTGTCAGGAAGAAACTAATTAAGAGGGAGGCATCAGCTGATTTTATTAAAACAAGAGCCAGAGACTGCTTACTGGTTGAGTTTCTAAGACAAAAAAGAATAGGCAGATCTTGTTAATATTTTAATGAGAGCTACTGTGTATGCTGCTAGAATATGCTGATGATACTGATTTAGAAAGTATGTCAGCTCCAGGTAATAGAGAGGAAGGACTGATGAACTTGAGGACTAGAATAGAAGAATTTGGAAAAGTTGTGACCACGCAGATCACAAGGTCATTCCTTTCAGAATGACTAATGAAAATCTCTACGTGAAATCTGGGAAATCTGTCATCTACAAAAATAGAAGGAGGAAGATATAAAGAGGATAGGATAAAAGGAGGGCATAATAAAATAAGGATGGTATAATAAAAAGCCACATGAATGTAAGCTGTATAAAAATATATAAGATATGGCCTGGGAAAAGACAAATGCTATCCTGGGTGTATGAGGCAAGGCGATTCCTTGGAGAGCCAAGAACATGCTCATATCATTGAATGAGGCACAGCTGATGGCTCATCTGGAATACTGGTCACTCAGCATTCAAGAAAATGAATACTGAATGTTTGTGAAATCGAGACCTTGAGGATGGTTTATTGTCTGATTTGTTCAGTCTATAAAAATGAGGATTGAACAGGGATATTATTGTTCTGTAAGAATGCAATGAGAATAAACATACAAAAAAAAGGCAGAAGAGCTTTTGAATCTAAAAGACACCACTATCAGAAACTGTGCTGTAATAAC